GGGGGGGAGTGAGAGAGAGAATTCATTGCCTTGCTGGATATACGGATTGACATATAGACAATTTCTATGTATTCATCTTCCCCGCGAATTCTTTAAATGGGACTTGAGGTCTCGGTGCTTGTGCAAAGTTGCTCTAACTACATACAGTGCCTACCTGCCTACCTATCTACCAGCTAGTCATACGCAGTAAAATCTGATGTTATTTGAGACTCGAGCGGGATGGGGTGTCTGGCTCTCCCCCTCTTTCCCGCAGACTTTCCAAGAGGAATAAAAGGTTTGAAGTATGGAATGGACAACAGATGAATATCAGCGAGGATGCCTCCCGTGTCTTGCGACTGTGTCTTCTGCCTTTAAACCCTCTTTATCATGGAGCCAGGTTTGAAGAGGCCAGGGTGTGGGTGAGATGATAGGGAAGAGACGAGCTCGGTTTTGCTAAGTGGCGAAAGACGGGTGGTCGTGAATTGCGCTTAGATCTCCTGGAGAGCTGATGTCACCCTTCGTCTTCTTCTTAGCATCATCGTCGTGATCCTCGTAGTGGTCGCCTGGAGCTCTCATTCTACACCCGCCTGGGCGTGGTGTCGTATTGTCTCGCGTCAGAGCAAGCACCCCTGGAACGACTCTGCGAGCGCTTCCTGCACTGTGATAAAGGCGGGTTATTCTGAAGAAAAGGCTTCACGAAGGAGGTAAGCAGTCAAGGTTCTCGAGGCAAGAAAGGTCTGGACATGGTCATAAATATCACTTCGCCGAGGCATGGTTCGGGGCATCATTCGTTGGCAAAGTCCGCTCATAGCTGGCGCGCTCGGGGTCGTGGAATCGAATGGATTAGGTCATTTTTGCATAGCGGAGTCGAATCGGTGATGCTGCTCTCGAAAGGTCGCACGTCTGATATTCTAGTGACCACCAGTGGTGGGCAGACCGAGCCAGACTTTGAAGGAGTCGTAGCTGTAACACCAGTCAGCTTGTCTCTTCTCCGACCAACGTGGAGTCAATTTGAGGGATTAGGACAAAAACATACATCAGCCATTGGAACCCGGTCAACGTTCCAATCATGACGATTCTGACTGGTAGACCGTTCCAGAGACCCATGAACCCAATGTTGCCGTAGATGCGGCTCATGGCTTTCCCCGCAGATTCACCAGCTAGAATGAGTGAGTACAAATTCACAATAGTACAGGGAATTGGCAGGACATACGTTGACGATCCGAGTTCAGCTTGCTGACCATGACATCGGCAGGGTGACTGACAATGGCACAGGCAATACCGGCAATATAACCAGCCAGGAAACTTACACCTGTCTGTTGTAGGCTGTTGTAGCTCTCCTTGGGCTTGCCGAGTTGTCGATAGATGAGCTTGACAGTCTCTTCAAAGGTCGCAAACTTGCACATCGTGTACGGGATTTGGCGGCCCCACAGGGGGTAAAGGCCCTTGTACAAGCCGGCAATGCCCTCCTTGTCGACGATTTTGGTCCAGCCCTCCCTCAAGTTGTTCGCGTAGGGAGGCAGCGTCGTTTGCATACGGACTTTGATGGCCTCCCATGGACACAAGAGCATGTCGGCAATGAATTCTGCCGAGGCGCTGGCACCCAGGTAGACCAGAGTGCGGTTGCTGTTGGGGAACATGTTGTCGCCGTACAGATGCTTAAAGATTTCGTAAAAGCCGTACTTCCCAAGACCCTGGAAGGAGTAGCCAACGAACGTGGGAGTCCAGCCAAAGAACACTCCACGAACTCCTTCTTTTGCATAAATAGAACTCCATCCTTGAAGGTTTGATTTATAGATCTTCGGGTCGACTTGACGGCGGGTCTTGACCAAGTCAAGAGGGGTGACAAGAGTGTGTGTAGGTCCGCATGCCACGACACCACCGAACATGCATGCAGCGAAGTACTTGGTCTGGTAAGAGAGCGGTTAGCTTCTTCTCTATCTCAAGGTAGAGACCAAAGCAATAAATCTGGGCAGGGCGGATGTCTCAGAGTCTGAATCTGAGGCTGCAGGCACACAACCACTGAGCTCAAACAACGTGTTTACGTTGACTCGGCCGTCACTAAGGTCACTCGACGGAGAGTACGTACTGAATTCGGTTCGATCTTTCCAAATGGATACTTCTTGAGCACCTCGGCAGAGGGTGGCTTGAGAGACGTTTGTGTCGCCATTGTGGTCAATTGAATTGGCTCTTAGGATGGAATTTCAAGGGTATGGACGGAAATCCTTGGATATTAAGAAGCGATCTTCTTCAGGTATATTGCTTTAGTTGAGTTCCTGGTTCTACCACTGAGCACGTGCGGCAACGTCAATAACAAAGACAAGGTAAAAGTTGGATACCAAACTAGAAAGCCCAGCAGCAAGAGAAATAGGCGGTGAGAGGAGATTCAGGAATTGACTCTTGACCAGTTCTTACAAGTCGCGAGAAAATGGAAGACGGAAGAACAAGAGTTGCACACAGAGGACGTCAGGAAAAGGCCAAAAGTAAATAAGGGAGGCAAGCTGTCTCGATATGGCTCATTGTAGCCGCGTATGCCGCAGCAGCCGTAAGAGCTCCCCTTGTTGTGCGGATTGGGGAGCTCGAAGAAATAGCGAGATCTCAGCAAGTTGATTCGATGCGCGTGGGGGAGTTCGGTGCATGTGAAGTGCGGAAGTGCGACCATAACATCATCATCCGGCCATGTTGGCCCTGGAGGCCCTGATTGCCCCCAGCGCCTCAGGACAAACTATTCCCAATAAGGTTCGCGAGAGCCGGCAATTCCGGGCGGGGGCCACTGACATCATGCACCGAAAAGCTTGTCCGGAGCTAGCGCCTGCTTATTCATCCACTTCGAACATCTCACTCAGCCAACCAACGGCCTGGACAATGTCCTTTTTGAGCAGTAGAAACAATTCAGACCTTTTCCCGGGTCGGTATATCTACATGACGCATTCACATGAAACCGATCCCAATTCCTTCATCTTCTGTCTATGATGGCAGTCCCATTCCATAATGTTGGGACGGTCCAAGAACGCCATTATTGCTATCTTGCGGGAACAGTTGATCCCATTCGGCCTGTGAGATGTTCCATGTCAGCCCTGCATTGAAATGTATCAGTTAATGGTTTGCAGACGGGCGCACTTACCCAATCGATGTCGAGCATGACAGAATCATTTCGATTGCCATTCTGAAATTGAGGGATGTTGATCTGATCGCTGGGAAATCCCGAATTGATCCCAAAGGGACTGCCACCCCCGGATGAGCCCTGTCTTGGTACCACTCCAGGAAGTGACTGGATCGCTTGAGGAGGCGGCGAAGTCTGTGGACCAGGTCCCAAGACAGTTCGCCAGCTGACTTGATCGGTCGTGATCAGTGGCGGCCAGGAATCATTTGTCCCCGAATCGCTGGGGCTATTGAAGTCAATCTGCTGACCTGGCGAAGGCTGAGTCGCGTCTGTCCGCGGCGGTGTTTGCTGCGGTTGTGGTTGTCCCCTGGATTGCGATATCAGCGGCGATTTTTGCCGGGCAGAAGGCGGTGCCGAAATCTGTGAGGATACAAATTGCGAGAGATGGCTAGCATCTGCAGGTGGTAAGTATTTTGCGTCAACATACATCGTTGCAGGCGTATCAAAGCTCCAGGACTGGTCGCCCGAGAATCTCATTTCTCCTCTACCCGCATTCGGTGGTGGTGTGGATGTGGTGGCCGATGATTGTAACGACGAGTCGGTTGAATCAATTTGACCTTGGTCTTTCGACGATTCGGAGCGCTTGCGGTGTTTATCCAGACCATCCTTCATACTGACAGGAACCCGTATCCTGCGAAGATCTCGATATACGGCTGTTCGATCTCTAACTGCTGCAATGATGGCTCTGGCTCGTTGAGTCCGGGACAGAGAGAGATCCGGTTCAAAGACGAAGTCGATCACATTCCATATCCGTTCGGCATCTCGAAGTGTGGGCTGTTCATAAATCACTGATAATAGCAAGAAGGCGATATGCCACTGCTGGTATGCCCCGTTGTACCACTTCCATTTCCTGAGTTCTGGCA